TGATCATTGACAAAACAATACAATGAATTGTTGTTTCACTAACTCGTTTATATATATATATATCGATTCAATAGTTTTTTGTTTCATGATCAACCTTTCTGACTTCCTTAAATTAGGGGGTCTAATGCTTGAAGTCATTGCATCGGAAAAAAGCAAAATATAGGATAAATCAATAGAATGACAACAAAACCATGACTGAAATGAAAATGCCCGTTGTGTCGTTATGTCTATGAACATGAGTATAAGCATCAACGACTCGTCTGTGCACTGAGAACCAATAAGCTGAACTCATTTAAGTTGCAATATGGATATTCTTGTTTACAAAAGTTGAGATACATGTGCATTAATGATATTTCTAACAAATCAATACAATTTGTTATTTCACCAACTCGATATCACATAATCTATTTCAATTGAATCGTTCTTTATCACATGATCAACCTTCATGACTTCCTTCAGTTAGGGGGTCTATTGCTTGAGGTTTTCACGTTGGAAAAGTAGCAAAATATAGGAGAAATAAACAAAATGACACGAGAGACGTTATTGAAATAAAAAAGTCCCTTGTACCATTCTGTTTGTAGACACACTCTATAAGCAGCTATGACTTATTCATGCCCGAGCCCCGAGAATTGATAAGAGGAACTCATTTACGTTGTAAGATGAACGTGATACGTACAAAAGTAGAGAGATAAGCTCATTACTTAGTCGACATGAATTAGTACGATAACTTCTGCTTTAACCAATTCGATAAGACATAACTAATATCATTTGGATCATTCTTTGTCAGATAGTAACCTTTGTGTCTTACATACGTTAGGGGGTCTGTTGTTGGATGTTGTTGCATTGAAAAAAAATCAAAATATAGAAAAAATCAACAAAATGGTACAAGTGCCTTATGAACATGAAAATGACACTTGTATCGTTATGTGAGTAAATATGAGTATAAGCAGCACATCCCATCCATGCCTCGAAAAATAATAAGTGAAACTTATGTATGTTGTAATATGCACATAACTTGTACAAAAGTTGAGAGACATCAACTTAATCGACACACACATATGAATAGGATGACTTGTGCTTTTACCATCTCGATAACATAAAAGTTATGTCATTTCAATTGTTCTTTTTGGCATGGTCAACCTTGCTATATTACATATGTTAGGGAGTCCATTATTAGAGGTTGTTTCGTTGAAAAAAAAAATTAAATATCGGTGAAAACTTCAAAATGACACAAGTGTCATTACTAGACATAAAAATGGTACTTGTGTTGTTACGTGTGTAAACATGAGTATAAGCATCCACGACCTATTCGTGCGCTGAGAAATAATAAGATGAATTTATTTACGTTGTAATGTACATATAACATGTCTAAAAGTTGAGAGATATGACACATGTGAATAGGACGACTTGTACTTTCACCATTTTGATAATATAAAAGCTATATCATTTCAACCGTTATTTATGACATGATCAATCTTTCTATGCTTAGGGAGTCCATCATTAGAGGTCATTTCGTTGAAAAAATCAAACTACAGCAGATAACGACGATAGTGCCGTCTTACGTAGCAAATAATGGTTGAAGTGGCGTTTTACATTCTAGCTAATCGTTGGAGTGCCATTATCATTCAATAGATCCAGACAACACAAAAAGCACACTAAATACGAAAACAAAACCTACTAAATATTATTTAATACTATATTAAATAATAAAAGTACAAGCAACATGAAATTTCTAAAAGTCTCTTTCTACTTTCTTCTAATGTAAATGGGATTTTTCAATGTAGATAATATGCTTATCAAACTCTTGTACAAATGCTCAAAATATACTCAATATAGGTGAAGAATATAATAAATAACATAATTTTAGAGTAGCAACACGGTAGTTGAAGATAAGAAAACGTGTAATTGTGATTTGAGGACCAAAACTTGAATTGGGGAATTAATTGGATTGATAAGAGTGCTAGGGTCTTTTTCCCATGGTGAGGGTATTTATGGCATTTGACATTGTTTGTTTATTGTATTTTATAATTGGAGACCATTTGACCAAGAAACATTGAGAGAGGGTTAATTAACCAAATACATTGTTTGTCTAGGCATACTCACTTGTTTATAATTTCCATACTATCATCTTCGGATCTGATTTCATTCCCACGGTGGACAGTAATAAAAAATTTTCACTATTGACATGGTAGGAGAATCTTACTTACAACTGTCTGCAACAATCATATATTCAGAGAACCATACTTGCGATTCTCCCTGCCACATCAAAAGTAAAAAGATTTTATCCTACCCACTTGGAGCAGGAGATCAATTCCACTATCATCTATGACTTTGATTGGTAAGATTTTAATCTAAATTTTGATCAAAGTCAATAATTAATTTTAATCATATATTTTATAGGACTCGTAACTTTTCAACTACACATTTCATCAACTTTTATCAAAATCTACCAAATATCTGATTTTAATTCTTATCAAACAAGGGCTATATATGCTCATTAGAAACTCGAGTACGAATGGATGCAATTCCTCATAAAAAAACAACCTTCCGTGGTAGAAGATTCAAAATCTTGAATTCCCGAAGAGCTGTTTGATCAAGCGGACCAAATGAATTTGCCTTGATGCTTTGCTCAGGCTCTACTTGCTCAAATATAGTATGTACCATATCGGATTTTTCTTTCTACACTTTCAATAATTCCAACGGTATTAATCTTGCTGGGAGTTAATTCAACTGTCTAACTGTCCATATGAGGTGTGAACGACAAATTGACGATCATTTGGCAAGAAAATAAGCTATTGTTTGATCTCATTATTTCCAAGATACTTTCTCTTTTTTTTTCAACCACACATTTTTCAATAAAATAATATTACACACAATCCCAAAACTTTTACTTATTTTTTAACTATACATTATCCATCAAATTACTATTTCAAAATACATTTTTAACCAAATAATTGGGCTCAAACATGCTCTAATTGTCATCAAGGATTACTTTAATATATTTTTTTTACTTAAAAAGTAAAAGAAAAGTAAGTTATCTAATTTAAATTTGCAAAAAAAGTTACATAAGAGTAACTTCACATTTATTTTTAAGTTGGACAATGCACAATAATTCCTTTTTCAATACTTAACTTCTTGAAATACAACAGACCTATTCTCCTGTCTACGGTGAAAAGTCTTATTATGCCCACTCGAAGAGAGAACCCAACGTTGTATTCTCCTGTCAAATCAGCAGGTGGGCAGTCTTATTCAGCCCACCGTGGACAGGAGAACAATTCTAGTTTCTCTTAATCTTATATCACATAATCTTGTTCCCTAATCAAATAAAGTGAACAAAGGCACCCCACATGTAATTATTTATGAGTCAAGCCAATTAACAAATCATTGGAAGAATAAGCAAGTAGAAGTTGGGCTTTCTTTCTATTTTGTGCTGTCATTCATATAAATCATATAAGTAAAAAGTTATCCTTCATTTTCGTCGGTGATTAAAAGAAAGAGCTTTGGGGCTGACGTAGCACGGGCGATGGTGACTATAACAAAGTGACAAACCGTACAGTTGTGTGGATAGATTTCAATTACAGTACTCCCTTCATTATCGTTATTAATTTCAGATTCTATCCGCTTCTATAAATTATTGATATTTGATAACATGTTCATCTCCATCAAGTCAATGAACACGTTTTATTGAAAGGGACTCGTTTTTCTCCATGAAATGTTGCATTCAATCCAAAGTTTGATTTTAAAGTAAGAAGCCTCGTTTGGTTTCCGCTTTAGTCCCTAAATTATAAGTTGATGGAATTAAGTGGTGAATAAGTGAATAGTAATTCTGTATAGGTACTGTATGATTTTTTTAAAAATCATATTTTTAATAAATTTTGATAAAGTTAATGAAATGTTTGATTGAAGAGTTAATAAAAATGTGAATCGAATGAAATGTGTGGTTGAAAATAATTTTTTTTTTTTTAAAAAAAAAGAAGCCAAATTGGTAGCAAAAATGTGTGATGCAAGCTAATATTTGACATTAAAAAGTGTCTTTTTTTTTTTTAAACTAAAAGGAACCCAAACATATGCCAATTCACTATTGCTTTTGAGTCATTTTTGTGTGGATACATTGTTAATTAGTTTTAATATGTATTATTTAGTTATGAATAACATGATAATTCAGTATTTTTAGGCCACTTGAACATGTGTGGAGTCTTAACCTAGTTTGCCTAATGTCTACAAATGGTCAAACTACTTTTTAGTTACAAATTGCAAGCATGTTTGAGTCCCATTTTTAAAAAAGAATGCATTTTGTAATAGTAGATTGATGAAAAATATGCGGTTAAAAAATAAGAATTTTTTTTTGTATTTGCGTGCAATAGTATTTTAATAAAGAATGTGTGCTTGAAAAGAATATAGAGAAAAATGTATTTTAGAAATAATGGGGATCAAACAAGGGCTCGTGAGATTCGTAAGTACTAATTTATTTGTCACTTATTTTTAGTATTTATAATCACTTCCCAAACAAACTTTTAATGTGACTTTGACAAGGAAAAACTTTTAATGTTACATATATCATAATTGATTTTGATCCTCATTTTTTCAAAATTCATTTTTAAACATACATTCTTCCATAATAATTTTACATGAAAATCGAAAACTTTTTATCATTTTTTAACCACACATTATCCAAAAAATCATTATTCTAAAATATATCTTTTTCCCAAGATGGGGCTCAAAAAGGGAAATAGTGTTAACTGTAATAAAAATATAATTCAAAGGATCAAATGAAATAAAATAAAGTTAGAGGACTCTATAATAAAACTTGGCTTGAAGCAGCATGATCAACAGTGTTTTTCTAAGAAATTATAGAAAATTTTTAAGAAGTCCTCGAAAAATCTGTAAATAATTTTTAAGGCTGGCCTCACAATAATAGATGAACCTTATCAAGTATAAAACATAAGGTTATCTGTAGTCTGTGTTGTGCTAAAATTGCAGTTGGGAGATCAGTTTCGAAGATGATGGAGCATCCCACGTCGCGATCCCGGGAGATATATGGTGAGTGATGGGTATTGGTGAGCTTCTTTTTAATGTGTGTTGATAATTGGCATTTGATTTGATTTGAGAATGAAGATATATAAGCTTCCATCTTCATTTACTTGTTGATATGAAAGCAGTTGATGAAGGAAGTCATGGAGTGTATAACGCAGTAATTGCTGGCAACTGGGATCGTCTTAAGATATTCTTCGCTCAGAGTTTCGCATTCACATTCAGGATAACTAAATCTGGAGAGACAGCACTCCTCGTGGCCATCAAGGGAGGACAAGAGTATTTCTTTATCAAGAAGATGGTTGATATGACGCCGCCGGACTTACTGACTCAGAAGGACAACTCCGGCAACACGGCTCTTCATGCGGCGGCACAGCTTGGAAATGTCAAAGTAGCTGAGCTGCTCGTGAACAAAAATCATGAATTGCTGAGTTTTTTCAACGACGATGGTTTGTTGCCAATCCAAGTATCTGCAAATCAAGGTCACAAAGGGATGACTTCAAAATTGCTCAGTATCTGCAACGAAAATAATTGTTCTATTCTGCTTGAAGGTGCAGCTGGGGGCGGGGTTTTGCAATCTCTAGTAAATGCAAAATTTTATGGTATGTAAAGTTATTGCTTAACAAAGATCTGCATAGAGTTGTTGAAAAACATCCTACCGGACGTAACGGAAACGAAAAACACAAGATTAAACGAGCTAGCAAAAGAAAACTTCGGCAAATTGCCAAGTACGACAAGAGAAGAATATTTTATAAATTGAGAAAACCACAAAATTGAAAATACAATATTTTCTTGTCCATGTATACAGTGTCTTCTAGCTTCTATCGCCTTAATTTTTCTCCCTACACCCTGACAGCGTCTTTGAACTCTCTTTCGTGTCACCATATTTTTAGACAACACTAATAGACTCGCTGCCCTGCGAAACCTTTTTCTCGGGTTAAATCCCTAAATCGTCGCTAAATTTTTCTCAAAGTTTCCACAGGGTTATTGAACTTAAAATTGTCCATGTTAGTCACTTAACTTTGAAAATTGGTAACCTATCCATTACTGCTTAAACGACACTTGCAAAATTGGAAAGATTTGATGACATTGAGTATACGTCTATGGGTATGTGATTGTTTTTTATATACAAATCATCCAATGCATATTTGGGTTTTTTTTTTTTTTTAATGACCGTTGAATGTATGGTTTTATTCAAATGTAGAGCTTTTCGAACTCTGAATTTCACGAACTTTATAAACTGAGTTATTATAGTTTCTTAACATGATTTGCATAAAAATCTGATTTATAGTTTTCAAATGTGTACCACATAAGCCATATCGTTAGACATGTTATTAAATTTTTCCAATTTTGCACGCATCATTTACACAGTAATAGATAGGGTACCAATTTTCAAAGTAAAGTGACTAATTGGGACAATTTTTAAGTTCAGTGGTTCTGTGAAAACTTTGAGAAAAGTTCAGTGACAATTTAGGGAATTACCCCCTTTTCTCCGTAGCTTTTCCTCCCTAATTGGCAGCCTCCCTCTCTCTCCAATTCTTTTTGCTACCCAATGCTCTTCATCTGGTGATTGCATTGATTGATAACAACTTCAATTTCTTTGGCATGTACTAAGTTGGTAATTCAATCTCAATGCCTTCTTCAGCCAACCAGCAGCCGAATTCTTACGTGAATGGTTAAAGTCTCATATGTTTATGTCAATAGTCCAAACTTCCCAAGCTCACCTGTTGAGTGTTGGGTTCCATGTTAAAAGGTGGGCTTTTATGTTGATTGTTGTTTTCATATCACTTTTTAATTATTAATGGAACAAATTAAGATTCGCAAACTAAATGCTACTAAAAATAATCTTGAAATTTTTCTGGTAAACTGATTACTGGTTCTTGCTGAAATTGTAGATTTGGCTCTCGATTTGCTTGAATCCAACCCCGAGTTGGCATGCGGAAATATTTTTCATTTAGAGCTGATCGAAACTTCTGTTTCCCGAAGTGGAAGGATTTTGGAGATGATGGCTGAGGAACCTTCTGTTTTCCGAAGTGGAACAAGCTTCGGCATTTGGGGGACCTTAATCTATTCTCGTTAGTCTCCCTTTCACACTCTTAATCATTATCATGTATCTTCTTATTCACTAAACTTGCCTTGTATCATTCGACATTTCCGTTGGTCTTTCCTGGTCTTGAGTTGTATTTAATTACAGCTAATGGGTTTAACCAGGAGGTTCTACGAACTCCGACTTGTTTCTTATCCTTCATGGCTTTTTGCCACTTATTAGAGTAGGATCATAAAAATGACTCAACTCTATGATGATGATCTACAATATGACCGATATCACTCTCACCAAGATTGAACACAATCACCCAATAAAATAGATCTCCTTTCTCTTCTAGTGCGTGTGAATTTGATGTGGACTTCTAGAGGTTGTAGATAGAATTTAGAAACTAGAAAATTGATGAATATACAATTTATTAAACTTCAGAATATATTTTTCATATATATTTCACACAAATTACAGCAGCACTCTTCAGCCAATTTATACACAAAGATGAATACATACAATACATACAACCTACACTATGAATGACGGAACATTTCATTCAGAATCCCTAGAATCATGGATGGTTAGTAATGCTGTGGTTGAATCCGTTGCAATGGCTGTACTGCCATATTCCGTTAGCTTCAAGAACTGGTAAGGTGAAGTCGTGCTTCTCTGGTATTACGTTTTTATCATCTTCTGTGGTTAGTGCTTCTTTGTCCCTCATCTTCTTGGGTTGTGCGGTTTGGTCCTCAATGTTATCTTTTCTAACA